ACTGCTGATCATTCAACTAAATTTTAGGACAGTTATTGAACCCCAGCTTATTTCACAACAAGCAGGTTTCAGAGTATATCGAGAAAGGTAATGAGAAATGTTGGATTATGGGAACAGTTTTTGTGGACCTTATGGCAGTTTATGGCACTGTGCAACACAGAAAAATGATGCATAAAGTCTACCATATTACCTGGTACTATGATTTTACAAAGAATGTCCAGGCTCTCCTAGAAAACTGCAGCTTCTATGTGGACTTCCAGGGCAGGAAAAGGAAATGGAGGAGGCAAAAGAATGATCTACCTGAAGGCAGCGTTCTTGCATCGGCCTTGTTTAACATCTTTACTAACAATCAGCCACAACCACCACTCACAAAAGAGCTTTATATATACTGATGACTTTGGCCTGACAACACAAGCAAAAGACCTTGAAACAGTCGAGAAGCAACTTACTTACATATCTCTCCAGCTACTACAAAGATAACCACCGGAATCCTAACCCTGCCAAGATGCAAGCGTGTGCTTTCCACCTACGTAACCGTGAATCCAACAGGAAATTGAAAGTTACCTAGGAAGGTCAAGAGCTCAAACACTGTTCCCACCCTAAATATCTCACTGTCACCTTAGCTCGAACACTAACATTTAGGAAACACTGTGCGAACATCAAGCATGCAATTAACATCCTGAGGAAGCTTACTCGCAGCACATGGGGTGTAGGCCCAAAATTAATAAGAACATCATCCCTGGCCTTGTCTTACTCGTTGGGAGAGTATGCCTGCCCTGTTTGGCATATATCTGCCCACATGAAGCAAGTGAACAGAATGTCTTAAATCTACACCTGTTGATAGACTCTACAACCGAGTTGGCCTCCCGCCCCCCCCCCCCCCCCCCCCCCAAATATGCAACAGGAAGGTGCTGCCAATTTCAAGAGAGATAAAGTTGATCACTGTGAAAGCCACCCACTGCATGGCCCTCAGCCTCCTCCCAATAAACTCAAACCAAGGAAAAGTTTCCTCTTAATGTTCTTCCAGCAACAGCAAGAATATCAGCTAAACCAGGAAATCCCAACTGGAGGGGCTCCCACGAGGGTGTGCCTCCAGGGGCAAACCAAGAATGTGCAGCTTGGAAGTCCCTGAATAGAACTCAGAAGTGGAGTGAGATCAAAAGACAACCTGGCAAAATGACACAACTTAGAAGAACCCTCCACCTGGTGTGACTGTGGAGCAGAACAAACAACTCACCATCTGTATGCCTGCCCACAATGCTCTGCCTCATGCACAGAGGAAGAACTGTTTCAAGTTACAGACAATGCAGTCACTGTTGCTGGGTTTTGGTCTAAACTGATTTAGCCGCTTGTGCTCCCTCTGTTTTATCAGGGTTTTTTAAAACTTACATTTATATAAGTAATTTTAGACATTTTGTATACAATCAAATATGGGAACAAAAGAACACAACCTGCTGATTTTTTATGTTGCTACCCAGACACCTTCATAAAAGTCAAACCTTCTATCCAGCTTTAGCCAAGAAATTCAATGCATTTTTCTATCCATGATTGGGTTTCCAATTGGTGGGAGAATCTGCAAGATTTTATTTTTGAAGCCCAATTTGTAAATATTTGAGCTAGCATCCAAAATATATTCACATGGGTACAGTCATGAGATCTGCTGACTAATGTTGTTGTTGTTCATTCGTTCAGTCGTCTCCGACTCTTCATGACCTCATGGACCAGCCCACGCCAGAGCTCCCTGTCGGCCGTCACCACCCCCAGCTCCTTCAAGGTCAGTCCAGTCACTTCAATGATGCCATCCATCCATCTTGCCCTTGGTCGGCCCCTCTTCCTTTTACCTTCCACTTTCCCCAGCATAATTGTCTTCTTTAGGCTTTGCTGTCTAATATCCTTCCCTCCAATGAGCAGTCAGGCTTTATTTCCTGGAGGATGGACTGGTTGGATCTTCTCGCAGTCCAAGGCACTCTCAGCACTTTCCTCCAACACCACAGCTCAAAAGCATCGATCTTCCTTCGCTCAGCCTTCCCTAAGGTCCAGCTCTCACATCCGTAGGTTACTACAGGGAATACCATGGCTTTGACCAGCAGTTTATTACAGATGTAACCATACTGTAATCAAAAAGGAGGGTGGTAAATGCAAAATTAAGCATACAATCCCATTTTTCCCACATGTAGGTGCTATAGAAATCCCTTATTTGACAAATATTCAAGAAATATTTGGGATCCATTTTATTCAGCAGAGCCACATTAAAAATGCAAGCAGAAATAAAGAGACAAAGGAGATTATAAAACAAATAAAAATAAGGACCTTTTAAAAACCAACCCCAAGAATAAAAAAAAATTCCACTTAGAATCATTAAAAAAGCAGTTACAAATACTACAAACAGAAAAACTGGAAAACCAAATGAAATTCATGAAAGTAAATTATTTTCAAAATGCAAACAAGATTGGTAAATGGTTGGCAAAGAAAACTAAAGACAGAAAACAAAAAAACAAGTAGATGGGAAAGCATATACTGACGGAAATAACATTACAAACCAATTTACAAAATTTTATAGAGAATTGTACAGGAAAGTAGAAGTCCCAAATGAACAAATAATGAAACACCTGTGCAATTTAAATTTACCTAAGTTAACAGACAGTCAAAGAGAATCATTAAACGGTCCGATAACTATGTTTGAAATCGAGAATGCAATCAAAAAATTAAAGAACACCAAAGCACCAGGGCCCGATGGATATACTGCCATATTCTATAAATTATTTAAAAATGAATTAGATCCACTCCTGAAAGACATATTGAATAACATATTAGAAAACAAAGAATTCCCCAAGACATGGGGAAAAGCAAACATAACGTTAATTCATAAGGAAAACACTGACCCTACCGAGATTAAAAATTACCAGCCCATGTCGCTTTTAAACAGTTATTACAAAAAATTTACTATAATTATGGCAGAACGGTTAAAAAACTTCTTAAAAAGCTGGATCGCTGAGGAACAGACAGGGTTCCTGCCAATCAGGCATATAAAGGACAATACAAGAATACTAATAGACATGATTGAGCATTACGAAAAACAGAATGAAAAACAACTTGCCCTGCTGTTTATCGATGCCGAAAAGGCTTTCAATAAAGTTAATTGGAATTACCTAAAACGACTATTAAAAGAAATAGATATAGGATATAAATTTAAGAATGCAATAGAGGCAATATATAAATTACAAGAGGCAACTCTAATAATAAATGGTAAAGAAATTAAGAAACCGATCCAAATTACTCAGGGCACGTGTCAAGGCTGCCCATTCTCACCTCTCCTATTTATATTAATAATGGACACACTGGTCAAAGACATCAATGATGACAAAAGATTAGAAGGAATAAAAATTATGAAACAGCAATACAAACTGAGAGTATATGCAGACGACGTAGTATGTATTATTGAAAACCCATTAAATAGTATCAATGAGTCGTGAATAAGATAGAAACGTTTGGAAATTTAGCAGGATTTAAATTAAATAGGCAAAAAACAAAACTTTTAGTTAAAAATATAGATAATAAAACAAAGGAAACCTTACAGGAAAAATCAGGCATAAAAATATAGAGTAAAATAAAATATCTAGGAGTGATAATAACACAAAGCAACACTAAACTACTAAAAAATAACTATGAATCACTCTGGAAAAAAATTCAAAAAGATTTGAACAGATGGAAATTCCAAAATATATCCTTTCTGGGACGTATAGCAATAATAAAAATGAATGTACTCCCTCAACTCCTTTTCCTCTTCCAAACGCTTCCAATAATTAGAAACGACTACCTTTTTAAAAAATGGAACTCAGAACTATCAAAATTCATATGGAGAAACAAAAAGGCAAGAATAAGCTTAAAATTTTTAACTGACGACAAAAAAAGAGGCAGCCTTGGCCTACCAGACATTAAAGCATATTATGAAGCCTGCAATTTAGTGGGGATAAAAGAATGGGCAACTTAAAAAAATTCTAAGCTGTTAACTCTGGAAGGACACGATCTCAGAACAGGATGGCACGGCTATCTGTAGTACAGTAAAAGAAAAATGGAAAAAAAAACTTTAGCAACCACTATATAAGAGCCTCTCTAATAAAAACATGGGAAAAGTATAAATTAAGATTTTATAGAAAAACACCTTTGTGGATTTCCCCTGTTGAGGCAAGACATAAAAAAGAATTAGCGGACGGAAATTGGATAACTTACCAACAAATTCTAAAAAAAAAACAGAGGAAAAACAATTAACTTTAAAATCTTTTGAGGAGATTAAACAACTAAACGAAAAATTAACCTGGTTGCAATATTTCCAAATCCATAAAGGATATAAAGAAGATGAAAAGGTCAGCTTTTGCCAAGAGCCAGACTTTTGGGAAACTTTCATGCAAAAGGAAAAAAAATAATCAGAATATTATACCAACAACTTCTGCTTTGGAAAACGGAAGAACAGATTAAAGACTGCCAAATTAAATGGGCTAGGGACATAGGTCACAACATTTTAATGAAACAGTGGGAAAAAAAATCTGGAATACCAAATTGAAATACACAGTAGCCGCGGACATTTGAGAGAATTGGTATAAAATGCTGTACAGATGGTATTACATCCCAGTAAAACTAGCCAAATTTAATAAAGGTATATCAAATCTTTGTTGGAAATGTGAAAGGGAAATAGGGACCTTTTATCATCAATGGTGGACCTGCAAACACATTAAAAAATTCTGGAAGGAAATCCACCTAGCAACAAAAAAAAAAAATCCTTGGCTACTAGAGACTTATCTCCTTAGTATCTCAAATACAAAATTAGACGAAAACCAGGACAAGGTACTCTTTCTTCTAAGCACCGCAGCCAGATTAGTAATAGCAAAGGTCTGGAACCAAAATAAAATACCAGGTATCGAAGATTGGATCCGAAAGGTTTTTGATTTAATCCAGATGGACAGCTTATTACAAAAACTGAATAATACACAAAAGAAGACAAATTGGATGGATTCAAGGAATTTATTGCAAATAAAAACTCTGTATTAAGGGTAGATCTGTCTAACATTTGAAAATAAAATACTCAGAAGAAGCCGAGCTGGCAAAATTGATGGAAAGTATTACAACAGACTGAAAGGAAATACCCTCAGAAGACATTTGGGAAGTACTTCACGTGGTTCTTTCTTTTCTTTTCTTTTCTTTTCTTTGACTACTTTTTGACTACTTTTCTACTTCTCTACTTTCCTACTATCCTGAAGACTTTTATGGTTTCCCCCACTTTTTCTGTATATAATATAAAAGCACAATAAAAATGATATTAAAAAAAAAGAAAGAAATATTTGGGATCCCAAAACTGTGTGTGCTTTATGTCAAACAGCAGCAGCCATTTAAAAAACTGTTTTATTAGTTTTATACATGTTTATTTATGCAATGCTTTTGAAACATTTTTTTAAATCAACTAAACAAAATTAAAGGCACCGGAATGGAGTTATTGCTGGTGCCTAGTGGCAAGACTCGGACTGACTATGGAGTAAAAATGTTTATGTGCCATAGATACCGATGTGGGCAAGTGAAACCTCTAAAATATTGAAAAACATCTTTCTGAATCCAGATTTATTATAATCAATTCTCTGTGAAAGATACTGAATGACTACTTTCCAAGGGCTGCTGCTTTCTTAAATTAGAGAAACAAGCTTCTTAAGATCTTCAAACTGGAGTGCCTTCATTTCTGGCATTTTCGAAGTACTCCTTTGAGAAGGAACGTGGTCGCATCAGATCAATCATGGGCTCTTCTGTACATGGTTTGCCTTCCTTTTGCCTCTGGGCAAGAACCATGGCCCGTAGCAGTGGTGGGTAGAGGACATATCGGACGGTCTCCTCCTCCACGGGTGTGAATTTCTTAAAGGCCTCCTCCTCATGCTTCGGAACCATGCGCCAGTCATGATACATAACCTTGCCAATTTCTCTGACTTCCTCCATCACCTTGCCTAAGAAGATATTGGCAAAGAGAAAGGGAATAGATATAAATGGCACACATTCACTGCATTCGCACAATAAAACACAAGGTGCTGATTATTGAAATCTGGCCTGTTCATCAAAACAGAATAAGTTGAGAATAATAGCAGGTAGGCATACTGAAGTTTATGGCATAGCAAAAATGAATAGACAAACTGATGAGTTTCAGATGGAACTTCAGTTTCCATGTTAATAGTAGTAAAGGTAAAGGTTTTCCCCTGACATTAAGTCCAGTCGTGTCCAACTCTGGGGGTTGGTGCTCACCTCCATTTCTAAGCCAAAGAGCCGGCATTGTCCATAGACACTTCCTGGGTCATGTGGCCGGCATGACTGCATGGAGCGCCGTTACCTTCCTGCCAGAGCGGTATGTTTTCGAACTGCTAGGTTGGCAGAAACTGGGGCTGACAGCAGGAGCTTACACCCCAAATTTGAACTTGTGACCTTTCGGTCAACAACTTCAGCCGCTCCGTGCTTTAACCCACTGCGCCACCAGGAGATCCTAATACTTAATAGAATGAACGTTAATATATGAAAAAAAATGGTATGTTTGGTTTATTTATTTTATTTATTTAAAACATTTATATTCTGCCCTTCTCACCCCGAAGGGGACTCAGGATGGAGCACAGCATATATACAGCAAACATTCAATGCTGGGACATGAATTCATTATATGCATACATAAACATTAAAAACATTTTTCTCAATATTAAAATACACTTTATGAAATCGTCTTGATCATCTGGTTAATAACACTATGTAACAAAATTTGAAAAAAAAATCTGTTCCTGGTTTGAAAGTGTTATTTCCTGTTTAATTGTGCGGTCCTTACTTTGAAATTAGTTGTTCTACTCCAGAAACTTTTTTTTGTGACTGCTACAAACTGTTGAATTGGTTGAGACTCAATGATAGATATTAATTGAAAAACAATAGCCAAATGTGCTACAGCAGGATGTTCCACTCACAAAAACAAAGTTTTGGCAGTTTAATAAACTTTTCCCATGTTTTTACGACAGAACCAGTTAAGTAATGAAATGGATAACCTAGGGACAAAAATTGTGGTTTGTAGTGTAATACAAACTGGTGGGACCGATGGGAATTGCAGTCCCAAAAAATCTGAAGGCACCTTGTTGCTGACCATAGTCAGAGACACTCTTAAGATCCTGCTGCAAATACACAAGCAATCTCTACCACACACTAAATCTTACATTAATTCCTCTCTTAACAGGCAGTCTTTCCTTACCTCTAAATGTCAAATAGCCCCAGGCTTTCCCGTGATCCAGATTCTGTAACAGAGTATGTAAGAACAATGACATTTAGTGCAAAAGGAAGAGGCAAGGGGAAGAACAAATATCTCCCTGGTTTCCAGGAAGGTCACTGTCATGATGTAGCTATAGGTGGGCAACAAATAATGACTTTCTGCATATATTTCAGATTTCAATATTATAGGCAAAAATACAAAGTATGATTTGGCATAGGATCTGTGCTGCATTAGAACGGTAAAGACAAATATAACTTAAGTAAAAAAAACATGAAATATGAAATAACAAAAAAAAAACAAGGTGTAAACATGAAACTGGGAATTTGCTATTGCAACACATCTCTATGTATTTTATGAAGGAATGCAGGAAAGTGTGAGTGTGCAAATATAACCTTGTTTAACTTTGCAGAGTATTCTGTGATCCTGTGTATGCTTACTTGAGAGAAAGGCTCAATAATGTATGTATTTTTTGTGTGGCATTGAATTGTTGCCTACTGTAAGCCGCTCTGAGTCCCCTTTGAGGTGAGAAGGGTAGGGTATAAATATAGTAAATAAAATTTAAAAACGGTGGGATAACTGTTGAGTAAACATGGCAAAAGCATGAATATTACTGTACTATGAAAAACATGAATATTACTGTACTGCCCTGTTTGGTACAAGTCTCTCCACACAAAGCAGGTGAATATAGCACCAAAAGAAACATGCAGAATTATCACAGGATGTCTCAAACGTATACCTTTTGATAGACACTACAACTAGCTGGCATTGTCCCGTACCCCCCCCCCCCCCCCCCCCCGATATCTGATGGAAAGTTGCTGCCAATTGCAAGAGAAATAAGGTTGAACACTGTGAAAGCCATCCACTGCATGGCTATCATCCTCCTCCCAGTAGATTCAAATCAAGCAAAAGCTTCATGAGGACCACCACTCCTCTTAATTACTTATTTCACATCTACTACTTCGTGATACAGTTAATGGTAAATGGAAGCAGAATGTGTAAACAAGAGCAAAATGAGACGATTCTACAGTTATTGTCACTCTTAGCCCATCCTCTACAAAACAAAACATTATATGCAAAGCAGGGGAATTTGCATCCAAACCAATTACATGCAGTCCCTGGGTTATGAACAATATAGATGCTGTAGATTTGTTCTAGGGCTAAATTGTGTTAGATGGGGTTACACTCCCCCTGAAGACGCAGGTTCGCAGCTTGGAAGTGATCCTGGACTCATTGCTGAGCCTGGAACCCCAGGTCTCGGTGGTGGCCGGGAGAGCTTTTGCACAATTAAAACTTGTGCGCCAGTTGCGCCCGTACCTTGGGAAGTCAGATCTGGCCACAGTGGTCCATGCTCTTGTTACATCCCAAATAGATTACTGCAACACACTCTATGTGGGGTTGCCTTTGAAGACTGTTCGGAAACTTCAATTAGTCCAGCGGGCGGCAGCCAGATTACTCACCGGAGCATCATACAGGGAGCATACCACCCCTCTGTTATGTCAGCTCCACTGGCTGCTGATCCAGTTCCGAGCACAATTCAAAGTGCTGGTTCTGACCTACAAAACCCTATACAGTTCCGGCCCAGCGTATCTGTCCGAACGCATCTCCTTGTACATGCCGCCTCGGAGTTTAAGATCTTCTGGGGAGGCCCTGATCTCGGCCCCACCTCTATCACAAGTGAGATTGGTGGGGACGAGGAGCAGGACCTTCTCGGTGGTGGCCCCTCGCCTGTGGAATTCACTTCCCGGGGAAATTAGGTCATCAACATCCCTCCTCTCTTTTAGAAGGAAACTAAAAACATGGATATTGGACCAGGCCTTTGGGTAATCTGGCAGAGAGACAAAGGACAATGACGACTAGAATTGATAGGATTTGACAATGTGGATTGAATTTACGGATTCTGAGCTGGCGAACGTTGAGCATTAGATTGGTTTTATTGTGATATAGAATTTATAGTTTTAATTGTTTTATAATTGCTGTTGATATATGTTTTTATCTTATTGAATTGTGCCTTTTGTAAGCTGCCCTGAGACCCCCCTCGGGGGTTGAGAAGGGCGGGGTAGAAATGCGCGAAATAAATAAATAAATAAATTTGTTCTAGGGCTAAATTGGTATATAATTGGTTTTGGATAGCATAGAGAAAGGTTAACACCCCTGTGCTGTTTGTTTGGCTGTCTATTCAGAAGATTTCACCTCACTTTCTGTTCCTGTGATCATTGGATTTTGCCAATTTTGGGTTGTTGTGGAAACAAAGACAGCTGATAAAGCTTCAGTGGAGACATCTTTTCCCCATGATAACTCTTACGGGAGTAAATTTTCATTCCTTTTGTCTCATCCTTGTTTGTAACTAAGAGTCATTTGTAAGTTGGTTTGCAACTTGAGGACTGCCTGTATAATAGCGTAATTGGATAAATGCCAAACAGGCTTTGCAGGACTCTTAAAACCTCTAGAACAGGGCTTCTTAAACTGTGGGCCTTAAACAAATGGGGTCTCCTGAGTTCAATGTTGGGGGTCTCAAATTGACAATGGTAAAAGGTTTCTGGATGCCACCTAGTGGCTATGAAAGGCATTTGCATGAAATCCATGATGTAGTGTTTACAGGGGACTCTGCAGAAGATGCTTCAGCTGCCCTTCATAGAAAGGAAAATAAGCCTGTTTAGCAAGACTTGCAAATGCTGATTCACTTCTTGTAAATATTTGATCCTTATACGTAGTTTATATGCTTATTATTTATTTATTTATTTATACGCTTGTATACCGCTAATATCTCAGCCTAAGTCGGCGACTCATTGCGGTTTACAACATTTAAAAAACAGTATTCAGTTTAAAAGCATAAAACACATATACAATACAAATTATTGGGCCACCAATAATAATCCCATGCATCTCATAACTGGAATCGCAGTCCAAAATTCATCGTCCATGATTACCAATCCTTTAGTCATCAAAATTCGTTGCAACGGATTAACCGAATGCTTGTTTAAACATCCATGTCTTCAATCTATTCCGAAACACCATCAGCGAGGGGGCTGATCGTACCTCTATGGGGAGGGTGTTCCAAAGCCGAGGGGCCACCACAGAAAAGGCCCTGTCTCTCGTTCCCGCCAGCCGCACGTGAAGCCGGCGGGATAGAGAGCAGGGACTCCCCAGAAGACCTTAGGGTCCTGGTGGGCTGATAGGCTGAGATACGTTCGGATAGATAAGTTGGGCCAGAACCGTTTAGGGCTTTAAAGGCCAACGCCAGCACTTTGAATTGAGTCCGGTAGCAGATCGGCAGCCAGTGGAGCTGATGCAGCAGAGGAGTTGTATGCTCCCTGCACCCCGCTCCTGTTAGAATCATGGCTGCCGCCCGCTGGACTAATTGGAGCTTCCGGGCTGTCTTCAAAGGCAACCCCACGTAGAGAGCGTTGCAGTAGTCAAGACGGGATGTAACCAGAGCGTGGACTACCGTGGCCAAGTCAGACTTCCCAAGGTACGGTCGCAGTTGGCGCACAAGTTTTAACTGTGCGAATGCTCCCCTGGTCACCGCCGAAACCTGGGGTTCCAGGCTCAGCGATGAGTCCAGGATCACACCCAAACTGCGAACCTGCGTCTTCAGGGGGAGTGCGACCCCGTCTAACACAGGCTGTAACCCTATACCCTGTTCGGCCTTGCGACTAACCAGGAGTACCTCTGTCTTGTCTGGATTCAATTTCAATTTGTTCGCCCCCATCCAGACCGTCACAGCGGCCAAGCACCGGTTCAGGACCTCGACAGCCTCCTTAGTAGCAGGTGGAAAGGAGTGACAGAGTTGGACATCATCTGCGTACAGATGACATCGCACTCCGAAACTCCGGATGATCTCACCCAGCAGCTTCATGTAGATGTTAAACAACATGGGAGACAGTATTGAACCCTGAGGAACCCCACAAGACAAAGGTTGTGGGGTTGAACAGGAGTCTCCCAGTAACACCTTCTGAGACCGACCCTCGAGGAATGAGGAGCCACTGCAGAACAGTACCTCCAAGACCCATCCCCGCGAGGCGTCCCAGAAGGATACCGTGGTCGACGGTATCGAAGGCCGCTGAGAGGTCCAGCAGCACCAACAGGGACACACTCCCCCTGTCGAGCTCCCGACGCAGATCATCCACTAAGGCGACCAAAGCTGTCTCGGTACCATGCCCCGGCCTAAAGCCAGACTGTGCCGGATCCAGATAATCCGTGTCTACCAAGAATGCCTGGAGTTGTGAGGCCACCACACGTTCCATGACTTTGCCCAAAAAGGGGAGATTGGAAACAGGCCGATAGTTGACGAATTGAGTGGGGTCCAGTGATGGTTTTTCAACAGCGGTTTTATCACAGCTTGTTTTAAGCTGGCTGGAATTTTGCCTTCCCGAAGGAGGCATTAACCACCACCTTCACCCACTCGGCCAATCCCCCTCTGGCCTCTTTCAGAAGCCAGGATGGGCAGGGGTCTAGGATGCATGTGGTAGCTCTCATTCCTCCAAGCACCTTGTCCACATCCTCGGATTGAACCAATTGAAATGAATCCATCAAAACCGGACAAGCAGATGCTCGTGTTACATCCTCAGATACTGCCGTTAATATGGTATCCAGTCCAGAGCGGATCAAAGCGACTTTGTCTGCGAAGAACCGAGCAAAAGCTTCACAGCGAGCTGCCGAGTCATCAGGGCACCCATCCTGAGTGGCGGGTTTTAATAGGCCTCTGACAACTCGGAACAGTTCAGCCGGACGGTTCTTTGCAGACGCAATAGTGGCCGCAAAGAAAGTCTTCTTTGTGGCTTTTATTGCCGCGGCATATGCCCTTAAAAAGGACACAAACCGTGTTCGATTTGGCTCGCTCGGATCCGAACGCCACACGCTCTCTAGTTCCCTCTTCTTTCGCTTCAACGCTGCCAGCTCCTCGGTGAACCAAGGAGCTGGTTTAGCTCGGCTACTTGAGAGGGGACGTTCTGGAGCGATCGTGTCTATTGCCCTAGTCATCTCCCCATTCCAGAGAGCGACCAGAGCATCAACAGGATCACCAACCGAGGTGGCGGGAAATTCCCCAAGAGCCATCAGGAATCCATCCGGATCCATAAGCCTCCTGGGGCGGACCAATTTAATGGGTCCTCCACCTCTGCGGAGGTTAGGGGGTGCAGTGAGTCTAAAGCTGACCAGTGGTGGTCGGTCCATGGCAACGGAGAGATGGATAACTCCTCAACACCGCCACCTTCCTCCCATCCCTGGCAGAAAGCCAAGTCCAATGTATGTCCAGCACTGTGGGTGGGGCCAGATACCTGTTGGGACAGCCCCATGGTTGCCATGGTAGACATGAAGTCCTGAGCCGCTCCCGATAGGGCGGCCTCGGCATGGACATTGAAGTCCCCCAGCACAAGCAGCCGTTGGGACTCCAACGCCAGGTCCGAGACCACCCCCGCTAGCTCAGTCAGGGAGTCTGTAGTGCAGCGAGGTGGGCGGTACACTAACAGAATCCCTAATCTGTCCCGGTCACCCACCCTCAGGTGGACGCATTCAAAATTTGTTGACTGCGGGATGGGGGCCCTGGTCAGAAGAATGGAATCTCTATAGACCACTGCAACTCCGCCTCCCCGCCCTCCGGATCTCGGTTGGTGCTGCACAGAGAAACCTGGTGGGCAAAGCTGGGTTAAATTTACACCTCCCGCTTCGTCCAACCAGGTCTCTGTGATGCACGCCAGATCTGCCCGTTCATCCAGGATTAAATCCTGGATGAAAGTTGTTTTACCGTTGACAGATCTGGCGTTCAACAGCACCACTTTCAATTCGGAGGGACCGCCATCCCATATACTCTGGGTCACATAAAACTTTCCCAGACTGAAAGAGTTCAAGAGCAGAAAAGTTTCAGAAGCCCTGCTCTAGAACATTCCCACCCCTCTATTCCTGGAACAATTCCAAATTTTCCAGCTTTTAGCTGTTTATTTTATTTATTTATTTACAGCATTTTTACCCCTCAACCCCCAGAGGGGAGGGGGGCTCAGAGCGGCTAACAAAGGCAGCAATGTGATGCCGCAATCAATAACACAGTATAAAACCATAAATACATACAGAGTTAAAACAATAGCAATTAATTATAACCAATTATCATAACAGTCATTGAGTCCATGAGCAGGAACCATGGCTTATAGAATGTGGAAGAGCCCACAAGGATCATTAAGTCCCCCCTGCTGCCAGGCAGGAACACTCAATCAAAGCACGACAGACAGAAGGCCACACAGCCCAGGTCTGAAAGCCGCCCACCCTACATTGGACCTCTATTTAAAAGTCTCCAAATCAGGAAAGTCCACCACCCTCTGAGGCAGTCATGTAAGACCCAATCCCCATGTCTTCGTATGACCTTGCCAAGAAAGCACCCACCTCAGCTGTATAATCCACCTTGACTTTGGTAATGATCCAATAGCAAGGCTCATCGAACCTCCACAGCCAGGATTTGCGTGTGACCATGCGGCCAATGCCAAAGCAATGCAGACGGCTCAGCAAGGTAAACAGTCGCTCCTCGTTCCTTGCATCTTCCCAGGCCAGAACAGGCAGCCTTTTGCCCGTCAAAGGGCGGATCATGGTCTCGTAGTCCAGGGCAAAGCGCTGGGAGTCCCGGGGCCGGTTCTTCAGGGCCCGGTACTCGCGGATCCTCTTGGCCATGGCCGCAATAGGGCGGTAGACCTTGTTCCGGCGACCCATGGCTGCCTGGGAAATAATTGCAGGAAGCCACAGTGGTCAGTGTTGGGAGCATAGGGTCAAACGTCACTACAAAGCCCACCTCTACCACCAACTAGCCCAGGGACAGGCAAACTTCATCCCTCCAGGTGTTTTGGACTGCAACTCTCACAATTCCTAAAAGCCAGTAGGAATGCCTGATTTAGCCTAACCCACCTCACAAAGTTATTGCAAAATAATATTACCTTAAGCTACAGGAAATAAAAATGAGAACAATAGTATCCAAGTGGGAAAACATGTTATACTATTGCAGAAAACACTGGCCGTTCACTAGTGAATGGGAACAATGAAGGACGAAGGCTACTACTTTCTTAAAGATCTGTATGATATAAATGGTCAACTGCTTCCTATAAGTAGGATAATAGAAACAGTGGGGGGAAAACTGGATAAAAACATTAGGCCTATATAATAAACTTAAACATGGAAAATATGGGGAATGTACAGGCAAAGAAAGTAAGCTGCAGAGTATACTCATAAAAGGAGAAAAATCAGAGAAAGGATTAGCGGGCACAATATATAAATTGATGATAAAAGAGGATGAAAACATTGTAAGAACACTACTAAAGAAATGGCAGAAAGAGGGGGAAATGTGAAAAGAAGAATAATGTGTTGTTGAAGGTTTTCATGGCCGGAATCACTCTATGGCCATGTTCAAGACGAATTGTCTTCTGACGTTTCGCCCACATCTATGACAGGCATCCTCAGAGGTTGGGAGGTCTTCTGGAAACTAGGTAAGTGAGGTTTATATATCTGTGGAATGTCCAAGGTGGAAGAAAGAACTCTTGTCTGCGTAAGGCAACTGTTAATGTTACAAATGGCCACCTTGATTAGCATTTAATGGCCTTGCAGCTTCAAAGCCATTCAAAGAACACAGAAAGAGGGCCAATTGCAACACATACACTTGCTCCCATCCTGGACATTCCAATATTTCCACTTTGCAGAAATTGCTTTTCTGGGTTACAGCTCCCAGTATCTCTTTCATGTGATTTTTCTGGCTGTGTTCTGGGGAAGATGGGAGCTATATTAAACTTACCTTCAACAAACCACATTCCAGGGCCTGTAAAAGGAAGGTCCAATTGATATATTGGTTCAAAGACCGGAAAACCAAGGGAGGCCTGTGAATTTCTGATGACCCCCTTCCTTTTTAAAATAAATTAAATAAAAACAACCTCATAGTACCTATCCTGGATTGTGTCTTCCTGCCTGGAAGAAGAGGGTTGGACTGGATTGCCTTTGGGGGTCTCTTCCAATGCTATTTGTAATTCTAAGAGGCCGGACAGCCATCTGTCAGGAGGGCTTGGATTGTGCCTTCCTGCTTGGAAGAAAAGGTTGGACTGGAGGGCCCTTGCAATGCTGAAATTCTTTGAAACTGAATGGTCATCTGTTGGACTTGGATTCCATTCCATTTTCCGCAAGGAATTAAAAACTTGGTTGGTCCATTGTGCTTTTGACTAGGCGGTTCACTTGAGAAGTATCCCAACCTTATCTAAGTTCCGGGCATTTCAGCTGACCCCTTTCCTGTACTTAAGACACTTTCATAGCCAAGGGCACTGCCCTGGCAACCCAGCCCTCTGACTATTTCACTTTCCCTCAGCTCTCCCAAGGAATCATTACACATACTCTGAGCCTGAACCCAGTTTCAAATTGGTATTGTTTTTATGATGTTAATTGATTTTAATGTTTTTATTATTTGTTGTTATTGATTGTTTTTACTGTGTCTGTTTTATTTGTAATCCTTGGGCTTGTCCCTTTGTAAGCCACCCCAAATCCCTTCAGGGAAATGGAGGTGGGGTATAAAAATAAAGTTATTACTGTATTATTATTATTATTATTATTATTATTATTATTATTATATAATTGTGCCTTCCTGCCTAGAAGAAGAGTGATGGACTGGATGGTCTTTGGGGGCCCCTTCCAATGCAACATATAATTCTATGAGGCTGGATGGCCATCTGTTGGGAAGGCTTGGATTGTGTCTCCCTGCCTGGAAAAAGAGTTTGATTTGGAGGGCCCTTGCAATGCTGCAATTATATGAGGCTGGATGGCCATCTGTCAAGAATGCTTGGATTGTGCCTTCCTGTCTGGAAGAAGGGGGATGGACTGGATGGGGTATTCCAGCTTTATGATCTTTGAAAGCCTGGCTGGCCATCTGTCAAGAGGGCTTGGATGGTGCCTTTAATGGTAGAAGAGGGTTGGACTGGATGGCCTTTAGGGGCCTCTTCCAATGCTGTATATAATTCTATGAAGCTGGGTGGCCTTCTGTTGGGAGGGGTCGGATGGTGTCTTCCTTAATGGCAGAAGGGGGTTGGACTGGATGGCCTTTGGGAGGCCTCCTCCAATGCTCTAATTCAGTGGGGAGAATAGCTCCCTAAATAGTAGGCTTTCAGCAGCCTGACCCCCCCCCCCCCTCTCCCTTGCCTTTCTTGAGTCTCAACCCTCCGCCTTCTGCTCACCTTTTCCGTAGGAAACCTCAAGCCTTTGGCGGGACTCCCTGCTTGATTGAACACGGACGCTTTTTCAGTCCGACCCACTGAAACCGTCCGGCTAGCAAGAACTTCCGCTTCCGGTCGGAAAGTAACATGCGGCAGGGAAAGCTTCCTGCTTGCAAGAGGGGCCTCGTCTCTCATGTAATGGCCAGGTTGATCAATGCTTGGCCGCCCTGGGATTTGTAGTATGGTGAGGCATGCGCATTCTCTGGCAGAGAAGGCTCAAGACTAGGCCTGGGCCAACTTGGGCCCTCCAGTTGTTTTGGACTGCAACTCCCACGGAATTGTGGGAGTTGCAGTCCAAAACACCTGGAGGGCCCAAGTTGGCCCAGGCCTGTTCTAGCACCATCCAAGCAATCTCTGTTGCCAGGAAGACCAGCAAACATCAGGGCAGTTTTTTCATGTTTATGTACATCGCTATTTCGATCAGCTCCATGTTGCAACAGCAGTTTGCACATATCAATTTCCCTCTTGTGAGGAGTCATGCTATGCTTCTCCAAACAATTCACACGAATATTCTTATTGCCCAGTAGTCTTGCAGCTTCTTCAATGTGCCTTTTCCCAATGACTTCCAACAGCTCTTTCTCCTCCTTGCACAAGTTCCCTTTCTTTGCGGGAGTCATGGCTGCCTCTCTGCCCTTCTCCCAATAATACCATGATGGAGCCCTTCTTTCTTTTCTTCCTATGACTGAATTCAGGCCTCACAAGCAAAGCCACAGCACAGCCACCCAAAATGGACATTTCCCCTTCTGCTGCTGTTTTCTCCACAAAATATCCAGTTAAAAACTAATTCTCGGAGGCTTTCATGGCCGGAATCACTGGGTTGTTGTAGGTTTTTTTGGGCTATATGGCCATATTCTAGAGGCATTCTTTCCTAAGGAATGCCTCTAGAACATGGCCATATAGCACAAAAAAATCTACAACAACCTAAGAATTCTCCCTTAAAAATCAAATTCCCCCCTGTGGAATGTATGCCCGCGTTGGAAACCAAGGTCCTAGACCGGTCGGTTCCCAACCTGCGATCTATGAACCAAACATGGTGTACAAGAAACAGAAAAGTGGTCAATGAGGTTCTTTCCCAGAAAACCTGAGGCGGTGCAGCATGACTGTTGAGGAAGTGGCCCCACAGGTATAGTCCACCCCCAAAAAGACACCCTTCTCCTTCATCCCAGCACTTGGGCTTAAGAGTGTTCCTCTCCCCGGCCCAGCCAAATGGAGGCAAGAGCACCCACATGCTCCCTTCCATTGCTTCTTCACAAGGAGCCAGTGATGATAGAGCTATCCCTGGCCCCCCATCTTCACTTCCTGAGGGCTTCGATTGCCACCTCCTCCTTGCAATCCACTCTATGAACAGGGCTTCCTTCCTTGCCACAAGAGCAGGTAAGGAATTAAAGATACAACCCCTCCTCCCTTTTGCCCAATTTTCCTTCCTTCCTTCCCTGTTCTGGAGGCTGCAGCTGCCAGAGCCCCGTTTGCAGTCTCCTCCTTGCAACCCAACCCCTTGACATCTGGACTTGCAAGGAAGGATCTGACATCGGGCAAAGGGAGGGGGCAAGAACGAAAGTGGATGGATCCTTCCTTCCTTGTCTGAGCTTGAAACGGCTGATGCCAGAGCCCCATTTGCAGGCCCAAGTGGCAGGGGGCTGAGTTACAAGGAGATTGCAAATGGGGCTCTGGCAGTAGTCTCAAGTGCAGGTAAAGAAAGGTGCAGCACTGAGCAAAGGGAAGCAGCAATGGTGACATTGAATCCTTCATTCCTCACCAGCTTTTGAGGCAAGGAAGGAAGCCCTGTTCACAGGCTGGATTGCAAAGGGAGGAGGCAGTCAAATCCTGCCATTCAGTGAAGGCGGGGGCCTAGGGAAGTTCCATCACTAGCTTCTCGTGAGGAAGCAAGGGAAAGGAAGGAAGCACGTGGGTGCACTTTGGCAGCGCCAGTGGAAAAGCTCTTGGGAGCCCATTCTCCCAGACTGGATCTTGAAGCCCAAGAACAGGAGCCTAATATTCGGGCTTCAAAAGCTAGTCTGGGAGTCTACTACAGTCTACTATTACTCAGTGTCACGACATGCGCATGGCATTGAGCAACAGGATTCCCTACCTTGTGAAAGAAATGCAAACTCAAAAATCACATTAATTTTTTTCATTAAGTCTCATTATGGTGTTTTGTCTTTATATCACAAAATAAAAAATGTATATGTGAATGTTAATATGATTAAGACAGTCTAGTTATTTAAAAACTTTTAAAATTTATTTTTTCCAGGTGGTGGGGAGAGGGGTCCACGATGTATCCCATTTTTTTCTCAGTGGTCCACAGTATCTTCAAGGATGGGAACCACTTCTGTAGACAATAGAAGTAGAAGTGGATCTCTATCAGAGGATAAGGATGTAGTCATGGAGACCTGGGAGAGTGAGCTAGGAAACCAATGAAACAGGCATATAAAGATTTCAGATTGCCCCCAAATGCAGTAAACCTCTCAGACAACAAGAAAAATTGAGTTTTCTTCTCTCATAATATTCAAACTCACAAGGTTATTCCTTGAAACTGAGTGTGAACACAAACAGCACTATCAAAAGGAAGTACTGACTTAGCATAGTGCATGGTTAACTTACATAAAATTAGCTACCTTCAAGATGGGTGATTAGTATTGACTTTAAATATGAAATTAGGAAATCCATGAATGGTAATAGTAGCAATGGTTACATTCATCCCAATTGGATCACAATGCTAATTGATCTCCTTTTGTCCTGGTAGGTCTTTGAGTAGTAGCTCTCTCCAGTTTTGCTGGCACTGTCTACAATACAGTTTTATTGCCTCTCTGGGCCCTTGCAGTATTGTTCAATCACAGTACTCATAATCCTTAAGCAGCACAACTAAAGAGTTAATGTAAATTGCAGTTCAATAACACTTTCAGGACCATGTATAACTCCCCCCTCACCCCCGCCATGAGCATATGATATCACTTGAAATGAAACAAAGATCTCGTTGGCCCAAGTCTTGAGCTGTTTTTTTCACAGATTTGAATTCTTACAATTAATAACCACATATAAGTTAGACCTTTCCCAGCTTAGCTGTTACAGTGAACTACAGTTTGTTGCAAAAAAGGAAATGCGGTAGTCAATCAAGGGCCCAGAAAAAAATGTACCTATCACCTAATGACACACAGGGATTTGATGTATTTGAGCCTTCAAGTTCAAAAACAAGAGGTGGAGTTCCATTGTAGACAAGGCACAATATAGTTGTCCCTTCACAAGCAACGTAAGTCCCTTCGGGGAGAGAGGCAGGTTATAAATAAAGTGTTGTTATTATTATTATTATTGTCCTTTAATTACATTTTCATACAGTTTAATACAGGAAAAGTTAGACATGCAAAGCACCAAAGGAAACTGAAGGGTTCACACAAGATCAGTTACAACTCTAAGCAAGTAGCTGTCTGTGCAAAAGTACTGGAAAGAAACAGAGGTGAGAACCCTCGTGTCTAACTACTGTTGTCCTCATGCCTTAAAACCAGAGGCATCACAAATTGCAAGTGAAAAAGCAACTCAACACATGGGATGGCTTCGTGACTTTTCACTCACAAATGGGACTGTGGGAGGAGATTTCACTGTCCTTTTTAGCAGCTTCTGGGAAAGTTGGCAAAATGCAGTTGACAAACGAAATCAGCTATGAGAACTGCTTGTGTCCTGAAGGTCGATCTTGCCCAAGGCTGAAAAAATGCTTGCAAGTTCCAAAGATTCCAATGAAGAGACATAAATTGCATACAGGTTAAGATGGAGGCCTGCTTGAACCCCTATTGTTCTTCAAGTCACTGTACATACTTGGAAACATTATGTCCTCCTGCATCTCTTCCGTTGGCAAGCATCAGCATCTGAGCTGAACGAGCTATCTGAATCACTGCCTGAGGAGGTAGAAGAGGATGGCTGGAGCGAGCCACAGTTCATGCTCAGCACCCAGCCGAGTTTGTTGTGCAGAATGTGCTTGAGTCCTGGGGGAAGAGGCAACACCTGTAATGTGTCAACGTAATCAGGAAGTAGCTGGCGCAGGCGGTAACAACAGAGGTACTGCAGGGAGGTGTGGGTGGCACAGGAGCGGATGACTTTCATGCTGCTCTTGGCTGCGGTCGAACACACCATGGGGAAGTATCTCTTGTTTTGTAACTGAGTGGCAGCCACTCCTGTTTGCGGATATCAAAAAGTAGGCCAATGTTTATTAACACTTAATCACAGAGAAGGAAAAAGATTAGATTGCAACACATGTAATCAGTTTCTGGCCTTGATGCCCTATAGCAGATGTCCCCAAACTGTGGCCCTCCAGCTGTTTTGGCCTCCACCTCCCAGAATTCCTGACCACTGAACAAGCTGGCTAGGTTTTCTATGAGCTCGAGGCCCAAACAGCTGGAGGGCTGCAGCTTGAGAATGCCTGTTCTATGGCATTCTATTATCATTAACTATTAGTCACACTAATGGTAACACTGGCAATGGGAGCCCAACAACAAAACACCTTAGACCAAGCATGAGCAAATTCCAGTCCTTCAGGTGTTTTGGACTTCAACTCCCACAATTCCTAACAGCCTCAGGCCCTTTCCTTTTCCTCCTCAGCCATTGAGGGGGAAAAGGAAGGGGACCAAGGCCCTTAGGAATTGTGGGAGCTGAAGTCCAAAACACCTGGAGGACCAGAGTTTTCCCATGCCTGCCTTAGACTGCTTATGTTAAACTCAAGACCTGTGGGCCGAGCTGATGGGAGTTGTGATACAGGAACATCTCGAAGGCTGCAGTCTTTTCTGTTTAGTCAGGAGAGTGGCGTTTGGATTGAGATACAAGGCTTGTGGGTGTGATATCTGACTTCAAAATGTCCTTTAACCTTTCCCAAACTTCCGAGCTACAAGGGCCTTTGAGTTGCAATTCCCATTGTCTCCAGTCTGCATGGCTGATAATCTAAAGGAATGGGAGTTGTCATTCGATAATATCTGGCGACCCCAACTGAGTAAAAACTAAAGAATACTGACTACTATTTAAGAAAAAGAAATGTATCTATGGATTCTCTGTCCATGGATTCAGCGTCCCTTTGAAGGCAACCATAAGGCTAATGTGGCCTTTGATGAAAATGAGTCTGACACCCCTGCCTTAGACCAAGATACAATCTAACACACCTGGCATGTTCCTCAACAAAACTAAAACTTTGGAATTTCTTATTCTATTCCTTGTGTTGTTATGGCAGGACTGGGCAAGCCCATTCAGTATATTAGTTGCTGGATATTATCTTTTACAGATATGTTTATCCCTTTTTGCATCTATAACTTTGAATTTTCTTTTTCCTGATCCCAGGTTATTCCCTGCCCAACCTGTATATCTGCAAGTTCCAATTTGTGGACATAGTTACATCTATTTGGCCAGATTCATCAGAACCATCCTGGAGGCTGATCTCTAAGGGATTTCATCCTCTGGTCTGCCTACCACTTTGTGGCTGGTCTGGGAGCAACCCTGAACTCGTAACATCAGTTTGCTCTGCCTTTTAGTTTTACTCATCACCAATAATAAAATATTAATAATAATAATAATAATAATAATAATAATAATAATAATGCCCCTATTTCACCATTGTGTGCTATTTGTAAGCTGCCCCAAGTCCCTACAGGAGATGATGGCAGGGTATAAATAAAAGATGATTATGATTATGGTTAAAATCTTATGTCTGGTCTCTTTATCCCTGTAGTTGGGCAGCAAACTCTCAATCTTACCTATACATTTCCTGTTTTTAAAGAAAGTCAGAGTCCCATGCCACGTGTCCAGGTGCACTCCGATGATGGAGCCTTGACCAAACCTTGTTGAGAAATTGGTTCTGTCTCCCTTGTGATGGAGGAGCCCTAGAACACAAAGGGAAGACACAGTTACAACACATGCAATAGATTAATCTTACCCTCCTATATATTCCTAGATTAAAAGGAACATCTCAGAGATTATTCAAACTCCATGCCAAGTGTAAGTGCAGGAATGCATGATGTGATAACAGTATCATTGGGTGTTCAGTCCCCTCCCAATGCTGCTGGTTCCATTTCAAAAAGTCAAAATCTGCTATCCCAAATAATCACAACCATTGATTCTGGCCTTGATCTTTGAAGCAATAGAGAATATCTGTTGCCTATTTTGCATGACAGCTTTTCTATTTTTTGGAAAAACACTACATTTTGCTTTTATTTTCTTTTTTACAGTTGAGATGTATGGATCTTTTTCGTACCTTAGGTATGAAAAAAACTTACCTGTCTGAGAAAGTTCAACAACACGATTCCCCATTTCTCTCCAAATAATTCTATCCTTTGCCCCCATGCCAACACCTTTTCCTAAAATGGCTATTGTGATGGAACTGTATAAGTCCAAGCTCCTTTTGTTAGGCTGCCTCACCCACAGTTTGAGAATAGTCACTTTTCTGTTAGTTTTATGAACTTAAGAAAACCCTTCCTGGTTTGGATAAATAAGTTTGCCTGCCCTTTTTGCCCGGGGAAAGAGAGCCATCTTTAGTTTAGGGTTATTACCACCAGGGAATCTTGGAACAAAACATGTCTGTAGTTGGTCCCAGGCTTGGACAAGCCATTTCAAGCCAATAACTAACTAACTAATCTGGGAACTCATCTGGCTATACTGGCCTACCTCTGGTCAGTGACAGTCTGTGGAGTTTCCAGTGCCTTCAGCAAAGTACCAGACCTGCTCTCTCAACTTCCAGCATGATCATCTTGGGCATTGGGCATCCCAGAGGCCCCTCTACCACAGAAAGTGAGCAAGGGAATCTTTCATCTGTCCTTTTTCTCTGGAATAATCCATGACCAGCAACTTCAAGAACAACCAGTTACCTTCAAACTTTAAGTATGGACTTTGTTGCAGGGAAATCAAGATAGTGCCTGGGTGGAGATAGGCCCAGGACCAATTAATAAATCGTTATCATTTTTTGAAAGCAATAGTGTGGACATGAATTCTGTGGGGTTCCTTGTTCAAACAGGCAGGCAATCCTGCATCCCCCAAGTTGATAAAAGTCGGGACATGCTAACGCTAAAGACATTTAAAGCAGCTTGAGTGCAATAGCACAGCTATGTCATGTCGTCTCTTAATTCCTCTACTCCTACCTCAAAACTGATTTTTTAATCAAAATGTTTGCTTCTTGAACCAAAATTTGAGTATATCTTCAGCCTTGACTCCATTTTCCCTGCTTTGAGAACTTGAGTCATTTTTTCCCTCTAACCTACCTCAGGGTAACAATGTACCACTGAGTACTTTATAAATGCTAATTCGTTATAAGCAAATACATTGATATTAGCATTGTAAGACAATCACACCACACTTTTATTTCTGAAGTGTAATGGCAGAAAAATACAGGAAATATGGTTCTCATACATTTGAAACTGGACAAAATAGTTTTTCCATTTTTTGTCAAACAATAATGCCACTGAAATACCTCCTAATTCTGTGCAAACAGTGCTCATGAATATTAAACTAATGCTCTGAAAATTAGCAATGCTGTATTGACAGATATTTATTTATTTATTTACTAACTACATTTATATACCTCCCCTCTCAGCCCAGAGGTGACTCGGAGCGGTTAATAGTAGGCAACAATTCGATGCCGAAACAAGTGCTTTCTTTGATCCAAGAAAAGATGGACAGAAATAACAGGATGTATAAATTTTGAACAAGGTAGCCTGCTTGTGTGTAGATGGGGTCTTAAACTTGAAGGATAGCAGTAATTCCTTTCCAAGTTCCTGCTTTTACAAAGAAAATAGTAATATCACTTTGCAATTGCAACTACACAGGGCATCATGCTCCTTTGCTTAGTCATAAAACATCACTTCAATGCATTTAAATGCCTTCAGTTAAGCACTTTCTGAACAAGGGAGTTTTTCACATTAATGTTAGAGAAAAATTGATCACATTTCAAGTACCATCATAAACGATTATTTGATAACATTCTGCTCACAAATTCAGCTATAAACCACTAAAGAAACAACATTCATGATTAATCACACACATTCTCTGTGTATCAGCAAGATATCATATGCTGCCTTCCCTCCAGCAATTTCTCTACTGCAATTACCTGTATAAGAGAGACCCCAGCTGTCTTCATCTTTGCCCAGCAGGCTGCAAAACGTGTGCCGGTACTTGTCCAAATTGACATCAGATGTCCCAATTCCCACCATCTAGTGAATAGCCAGTAGAAAGCGGAGTGGAGAAGCAGAGACAGAAAGGAAGATATGAAATCATGGAGTAAACAATGCATATTCTCAAGAGCCACAAATTCTGTTCCGATGCAACAAAAGATACGTATTTTTTTACAATCAAGGTTCTCGGGACTTATCCAATACTCCTGTACACAGTTTCATTTATACTCATTATATACATTTATACTGACTTCTTTCTAAAGTAAAGTTGCATTTTGATTAGTTCAGATGATTAAAATGTTGATATAAAAAGTTCAGGTTGGCCAATGTGTCCAGAAAGTTCATGCAATACAGGCAGTTTTGTTACTGGTTTTCTTCCATGGTTTGAATTAAGGAGTCAGGATGCCACTTTGATATGTTATATTGAGCCATATTATTTTCATTTCATGAAAGATCATAAGGTCACTTGTTTGACGGAATACGGTTATCTTATTGCCATGTGGAATCTGAGCAAAAAGGATACTATCTAAGATGGCAATGAAGGAGAAAAGGTGATCTCTAATGTAGTTTTGGGTCCAACCTATCTTCGAGACCACATCTCCTTCTACGAACCAATGCAGGCACTAAGATCTGCTGGGGAGGCCCTTCTCTTGGTCCCACCACCGTCTCAAGCATGATTGGTGGGGATGAGAGAGAGGGCCTTCTCAGTGGTGGCTCCCTGGCTCTGAAATACCCTCCCTAAAGAAATTAGATTAACCTCCTCTCTTCAGATCTTCTCGGTAGTCTAAAAACATGGTTCTTCAGACAGTCCTTTGATCCTGAGTAATCCATAGCCAATGTGATGAATCATTGATAGTACTAATCCGCACTTTGATTTATTGTTTGTTCTGACAGATAGCCAGCCGCAAGTTCTACTGCATTTTAGGAATTTTATAATGTTCAAATTTCTATTATTTTATTAATGAGATTTTTATGCACAGTTTATTATGTCATTGTATTTATACATATGTATTATTGTCTGCATGTGACACTTGGAGTGCTTCTGTGATCTGCCCCGAGTTCCTTTGGGGAGATGGTGGCAGGGTACAAATAAAGATGATGATGATGATTAGTTTCCAAATAAGTATCACTACAGTCAAAATATACAGTCAATCCTCCATTTCCACAGTCCTGCCTTAGCACCTGCCCATATACAAACATCAAGGGACACACCATGCTCAGTTATTATGCACTCACATGGAAGCAACGTTTGTGGAACACTTATACTGCTATGGGAGGACCAGACACAGTTTCACATTCATGAAACAATGCAGAGGTTAATTTTCTTACGCAGATCATGCCTAGCTATTCTTAATGCTAAGTATAAACAGCCATATTGAGAACAGAAACACATCTTCTTAAATAATAACTTTTATTTCTTGCCCACCTCTCCTCACAGCTCAAGGCAGGTTACAACATTGCTAAAACACATTAATCCAAAAACATTCTTTAAAATACACATATTAAAACGTATTTCCACAAAATACATATTAAAATACACAAAACAAAGATTAAACATAAGACTCATGTTTAAAATTTGTCATTACAACTGTCTAGATAAACCTGCAGGAAGCATTGCCCTTCTACAATTTATAGCATTGGCTAGATAAAACAGTGAGGTTCAAAAGTATTTGGAGAGTCATTGGATTCCCACTTCCAGAACTGAGCCATTAAAATGTAGAGCTATGGATGAAATCTAAATATGCCATTTGATTAAGCTGCTTGCTTGACACATCTATCCATCTCCAATCAACATACCATATCAGTGCCATAAACTGGTGAGGTCATCTTGATTTCCCAAAAGTGCTGCCCCTCTGCCAGTTCCTTGTTCCCTCGGATGGCGGCAGTGCCACAGCTGTAGTCCATGTGGAAATTCACCTTGCGGCTGTCACAGGTCAACAGCGTTGCGGTTGATTTGTTCAGATCATCCCACACCCAGTCAAAATCTGAGGAAGAGTTAACAGGGAAAGAAGTCTGTACACACTAACACAGAGATTCTTGTTATACAACCTTCCAAAACAAGCATATCTTGATACATTCTTCATATGGTGCTTTTGGGACACTCCAAAGGACTGCAAGAGTGACAAAATGTGTAGGGGGGAAAAGAAAGTGGCAAACAGTCCAATTTTCAGTTAGGAGAAATGAGTATTTCTTACATTAAACAATAAAGTTGCAATCTGCTGCACTTCTGGAGATTTCAGGAGAACAAATATACTTTTTTGGCCATAGGGAAGTGAAGCAGTAAAAATGATACTCCCAAAACCCCCACAATGACACGTCACAGTCCCCAAACACACGACTGAAGAACCTTTGCATTTACCGCACAGCAGAAAACACTTTGAACACTGTTTCCAACTGCTTTCAGTTGCTTGAAAATGGGAATTTTTCAAAAGCATAGCATACACCATAACAAATTGAAAACCAGACAATAAAAGAATATAGAAAATAAAATGAAGCCAACAGTTTGTTCACTGTAAACACATTCTTCAAGCAACCACAGCAACGGTTACAAGGACATCACCAGTTGACCACCATAGAAATGGCTATATAATTGGAAGCAGCAGCTCCCTTCTTTCTGCAAAGGCACAAGCAGGAACTGAGTCACAGATGTCTTATATGAAAAACTAGAACAAAGCAAAAAAAGTACACTAAATCCATAGAGTGCCAAAATATAAAGTAAAGAACATCCCTGTAAATACCAGTAAATAACAGAAACCAGGGAAGGTGTCACAGAGAAAAGCATAATAATAATAATAATAATAATAATAATAATAATAATCCAATAAAAAAACAAAAAAAAAAAAAAACAACCCACTCCCAACCCAAGACTATCTTCAAACAAAACAGAGAAAAGAGGAAAAAAAGATAAGGAAAGCTTCGCTTGATGACTCATCAAACAGGATAGGGTTCCGTTAACCGGGGAGCCCCCATAGAAGTCGTGGTGGGGAGGGGGAGATACGGGAAAGGGAGACCTTTAATTCGACCTAGGGAACGGGGAACAACTTTAGTAATCCCAAATCGGTCTCCTGATATGGTAAGTCGGTGTAACCAGGATGGCGGTCCCTCCGAATTGAAAGTGGTGCTGTTGAACGCCAGATCTGTCAACGGTAAAACAACTTTCATCCAGGATTTAATCCTGGATGAACGGGCAGATCTGCCGTGCATCACAGAGACCTGGTTGGACGAAGCGGGAGGTGTAAATTTAACCCAGCTTTGCCCACCAGGTTTCTCTGTGCAGCACCAACCGAGATCCGGAGGGCGGGGAGGCGGGTTGCAGTGGTCTATAGAGATTCCATTCTTCTGACCAGGGCCCCCATCCCGCAGTCAACAAAATTTGAATGCGTCCACCTGAGGGTGGGAGACCGGGACAGATTAGGGATTCTGTTAGTGTACCGTCCACCTCGCTGCACTACAGACTCCCTGACTGAGCTAGCGAGGGTGGTCTCGGACCTGGTGTTGGAGTCCCAACGGCTGCTTGTGCTGGGGGACTTCAATATCCACGCCGAGTCTGCCTCATCGGGGGCGGCTCAGGACTTCATGTCTACCATGGCAACCATGGGGCTGTCCCAACAAGTATCTGGCCCCACCCACAGTGCTGGACATACATTGGACTTGGTTTTCTGCCAGGGATGGGAGGAAGGTGGCGGTGTTGAGGAGTTATCCATCTCTCCGTTGCCATGGACCGACCACCACCTGGTCAGCTTTAGACTCACTGCACCCCCTAACCTCCGCGGAGGTGGAGGACCCATTAAATTGGTCCGCCCCAGGAGGCTTATGGATCCGGATGGATTCCTGATGGCTCTTGGGGATTTTCCCGCCACCGCGGTTGGTGATCCTGTTGATGCCCTGGTCGCTCTCTGGAATGGGGAGATGACCAGGGCAATAGACACGATCGCTCCAGAACGTCCCCTCTCAAGTAGCCGAGCCAAACCAGCTCCTTGGTTTACTGAGGAGCTGGCGGCGTTGAAGCGAAAGAAGAGGGAACTAGAGAGCGTGTGGCGTTCGGATCCGAGCGAGCCAAACCGAACACGGTTTGTGTCCTTTTTAAGGGCATATGCCGCGGCAATAAAGGCCGCAAAGAAAATTTTCTTCGCGGCCACTATTGCGTCTGCGAAGAACCGTCCGGCTGAACTGTTCCGAGTTGTCAGAGGCTTATTAAAACCCACCACTCAGGATGGGTGCCCTGATGACTCGGCGGCTCGCTGCGAAGCTTTTGCTCGGTTCTTCGCAGACAAAGTCGCTTTGATCCGCTCTGGACTGGATACCATATTAACGGCAGTATCTGAGGATGTAACCCGAGCACCTGCTTGTCCGGTTTTGATGGATTCATTTCAATTGGTTCAATCCGAGGATGTGGACAAGGTGCTTGGAGGGATGAGAGCGGCCACATGCATCCTAGACCCTGCCCATCCTGGCTCTAAAGGAGGCCAGAGGGGGATTGGCCGAGTGGGTGAAGGTGGTGGTTAATGCCTCCCTTCGGGAAGGCAAAATTCCAGCCAGCTTAAAACAAGCTGTAATAAAACCGCTGTTGAAAAAACCATCACTGGACCCCACTCAATTCGTCAACTATCGGCCTGTTTCCAATCTCCCCTTTTTGGGCAAAGTCCTGGAACGTGTGGTGGCCTCACAACTCCAGGCATTCTTGGTAGACACGATTATCTGGATCCGGCACAGTCTGGCTTTAGGCCGGGGCATGGTACCGAGACAGCCTTGGTCGCCTTAGTGGATGATCTGCGTCGGGAGCTCGACAGGGGGAGTGTGTCCCTGTTGGTGCTGCTCGACCTCTCAGCGGCCTTCGATACCGTCGACCACGGTATCCTTCTGGGACGCCTCGCGGGGATGGGACTTGGAGGTACTGTTTTGCAGTGGCTCCGCTCATTCCTCGAGGGTCGGTCTCAGATGGTGTTATTGGGAGACTCCTGTTCAACCCCACAACCTTTGTCTTGTGGGGTTCCTCAGGGTTCAATACTGTCTCCCATGTTGTTTAACATCTACATGAAGCCGCTGGGGGAGATCATCCGGAGTTTCGGAGTGCGATGTCATCTGTACGCAGATGATGTCCAACTCTGTCACTCCTTTCCACCTGCTACTAAGGAGGCTGTCGAGGTCCTGAACCGGTGCTTGGCCGCTGTGACGGTCTGGATGGGGGTAACAAATTGAAATTGAATCCAGACAAGACAGAGGTACTCCTGGTTAGTCGTAAGGCCGAACAGGGTATAGGTTTACAGCCTGTGTTAGACGGGGTCGCACTCCCCCTGAAGACACAGGTTCGCAGTTTGGGGGTGATCCTGGATTCATCGCTGAGCCTGGAACCCCAGGTTTCGGCGGTGACCAGGGGAGCCTTCGCACAGTTAAAACTTGTGCGCCAACTGCGACCGTACCTTGGGAAGTCTGACTTAGCTACGGTAGTCCACGCTCTGGTTACATCCCGCCTTGATTACTGCAACGCTCTCTACGTGGGGTTGCCTTTGAAGACAGTCCGGAAGCTCCAGTTAGTCCAACGGGCGGCAGCCATGATTCTAACAGGAGCGGGGTGCAGGGAGCATACAACTCCCTTGCTGAACCAGCTCCACTGGCTGCCGATGCTACCGGGCTCAATTCAAAGTGCTGGCGTTGGCCTTTAAAGCCCTAAACGGTTCTGGCCCAACTTATCTATCCGAACGTATCTCAGCCTATCAGCCCACCAGGACCCTAAGATCTTCCGGAGAGTCCCTTCTCTCTATCCCTCCAGCTTCAGAAGTGCGGCTGGCGGGAACGAGAGATAGGGCCTTCTCTGTGGTGGCCCCCCGGCTTTGGAACACCCTCCCTATAGAGGTACGATCAGCCTCTTCGCTGATGGTGTTTAGGAAGAGACTCAAAACATGGCTGTTCAAACAAGCATTCGGCTAATCTGTGGCAATTCGAATATTGATGACTAAGGACAGGAAACATGGACAACGAATTCTGGATTGCGATTTCAACTCGAGATATATGGGATTATTATTGGTGGCCCAATAATTTGTTATTGAATTTGTTATTATATGTGTATATGTTTTTAAATTGTAGATTGTTTTAACTGCTGTAAACCGCAATGAGTCGCCGTTCTAGGCTGAGATATTAGCGGTATACAAGTGTATCAAATAAATAAATAAATAAATAAGATAGGACAGAAAATAAGCCAAAATAATATGACAGATAGTATTAATAGTACTATTGTAATCATCACTGCAAAGAAAAAGGAGCCAGCCAAATAATGCATTAATGATGCACTTATATTATAATTCTTATTTAAAACATTATTTCTTTGATTTATTTTTGCTGGTTGCTTAAGTTCTGATTAATTCAACATCTACTGTAGGTGGACTGAGTTAATCAAGGAATTATAGCCTTGATTTCAGAAACTTTAGCAGGGGTGTTAATAAAGATGCCTTGTAGGGTGTCTCTTGTTATTAGGGTCACTATAAGTGAAAGATTATTCAACAACAGCAAATAAGATGGAAAGTTTTTTTTAAACCATTCAGCCACTGATACAACAGAAATATCAAGTCAGTTGTTTAAAGGCAAGCGCATTTCTATGTCCAGAATTCCTACAAGCATGGCATGGATAGAGAGGGCAGCAATCTAGTTTATCAACATAAGCTAGACTCTACTATTCTCTATGAGTTCAAGATCACCTGCTTTACCTAAACCCAGTCAAGAACTAGACTGAAACTGCAAATTCAATTTAACGAGTAAAATATCATTGACTTGATTTCTAGTCTCCAGAGTAAGAACTGCTGATACATCCAAACATTTGCATTTTAAGCGTGACATGTTTACTTCACAGCATCAATCATGTTCTAAGCTGAAATTCCAAAAAAGAACCAATCGTCATACATTTTTCAAGTTTCTTTTCCCTGCATATTTCTGCTACCTTGAGGACAAATATCTAAGACATCAACAACACAGAAGGAGAAATTGGGGGATTTCCTTACATTCGTCTTCCTCCCCACACTGACAATCCATGATCCGGTGGATGGCATGCGGGTTAGGGCAGTACGGAGCTTCATTTTGGTTCTCACAGTTGCAGTAAGACTCTCCAGTCACAGGAATAGCTGTGGGTATCGAAGGCAACAGAGGGGGGAACTCTGGCTCTGAATCTGAATCACTGTGCTGTGGAAGGAAAGAAAAAGAATAGTCAGCTCTCTCTCCACTGAATGATCACAGCCTCACTAAGAGGCCTTCAGGAAAGTTTGCATTACATTTCCAAGGTTTCTCAGTATAAATATTATTTTGAAATTGTTTTTTACATTTACATGCACCTCCTTCTGTTGGCACTGTTCACTCTGACTAGCCCTGTCAATCAGTCTACGGGGGACTTATAGCTCAGTACTCCCCAGGATTAGTCATGAGGAGTGATTCCAGACAATAAAAAGGTGGCTCTGTTTGACTGAAAAGGAGACAGAAAGCCAATGCTGTGGAGCCAAGCCGATGAAACATCCATAACAAGACTGAGGGAGATATTAAAATCATAGCTATAAATAATTATTTTATAAAGATACTAGCTGTGCCCTGCCACGCGTTGCTGTGGCCTATAGCAAGAATTTTCGAAGTAGAGTTAGATATCAGGACTATTATGAAAGAGAGGTACCTACCTATTCCTTCCCCTTGTTTTCTGCCCCTTCCCCTCCTTTCTTCCTTCTCTACCTCTTTCTTTCATTCCTTCTTTTGCTCTTTGGTTTCATCCTTCCTTCTCTCTTTCCTTCCTTCCCTCCCCCTTTCTCTACTTTTTCCTTTGTCTCTTTTCTTCCCTCCCTGTTTCCTTCCTTCTTTCACTTTTTATTTCCTTTTCTCCTTCCTTCCTTCTTTACCTCTTTCTTGCATTTCCCTCCATTTTTCTTTCCTTTTTACTTTCTCTTCTTCCTTCCTTCGGTACCTCTTTCTTTCCTTCCTTCTCTCCTTCCTTCCGTCTTTCCTTCCCTCCTTCCTTCTTTCCCTCCCTCCTTCTCTCTTTCCTTATTTCCCCCTTTCCCTCCTTCATTCCTTCCCTTCCTCCCCCCCACTTCCTTCTCTCCTTTCTTCCTGTCTGTTCTCCCCCAGTACCATGGTAGAGTCCCTTCCAACTCTATTCTATGAGTATTTAATATAGTAATATATAGTAGTATCATTATACTATATAGTAGTATATATAACAATAATATATATAATACAATATGTATGTATTATATAGCAATATATATAATAGCAATATATAAAGTATTGTGTGTGTGTGTGTGTGTGTCACCAACCAGTGATCCAACAACCATCCATATGTGTGTGTGTGTGTGCATGTGTCTACACTGTCATATAATCCAGTTCTAAGTAGATAATCTGGATTTTACATGGAGGGGGTTGGACCGGATGGCCTTTAGGGCTCCCTTCCACCTGGTTGGCTATCTGTTGTGAGGATTTTGATTGTGTCTTCCTTTACTGCCAAATGACGTTGGGCTGAATGGTCTTTGGTGCTCCTTTCCAAGCAATGTCAGCTTCGTGTGTCCCTATTACCACTCCCCCCCCCCCCCCAAATCCTTCCCTTGTGCTGTGGGTGTGTGTGGGAGATAGAGAATCAGAGTTTGTGCACAGAGTGTTGCCTGCCTGCCTCTTTTTTCTTCCCCCCCTCCCCCCCCCTGCTCTTTGATCCCTTGCCTTAGTGTTAGTTAGGGGCAGGGAGCAGCAACCACTGCCGCCGCTGCTTTGGAACCCTCATTCTGTGTCCTCAGAATGAGGGGGGCAGGGGAGGTGTGTTGTATTCTTCCTTTTTTGAATTGAATGATGTTTTGGTGGGTTTTTTTCCAGTCATGGTCACTCCTTGGATTGTGAGGAATTTTGTTGCCAAATTTGGGATCATTTGGCCCTGTAGTTTTTTTGTTTTTAAGGTACTCATTATGCACAGAGCATTTATATACATATAGATAAAAACCCAAAAAGTAACAAAATAATACTGACTCACAGAATTAGTAGGTAGCTACTAATTACAGTGCAATCCCTGTACCTGCAGAATCAGTACTTGCTGTTTCACCTTTCCCTATCTGAGAAAACATGTCCTCTTTAGGAATTTTCTAGGTCCTCCAGGTAATTCTATGGCATGCTTCCATCGGAAGTTGTCACAGAGTTGACCTGAAGCAAACAGCAAATTTCAAGAAAGGAATTTTGTAGGTTCTCCACCCCAACTATTATCCACAGTTTTCGTTTGCACAATAAGTTCAGGGATATATATCCTATGTGGAGAGGTTGTACTATATTTCCTGCTTCTAGTTGCCAATATTTGGCCACAACCATCGTGGTTTCTACCCTCCTAGATTATACATTTCAGTATTTGTTTCCTTTCCTCAGGTGGAAGGTAAGGGAGGAAGCCACCCAATCTTAGCAATTTGGACAGTGCATGAGGACAAATGGAGCTATAAGTTAAATAAATGGGGACCAGATGCTGCCTGTAAGCCATGTACAGCTGGCCCTCCACATTTGTAGGTGTGGCATTTGAAGATCTAATTCAAATGCCAGAAAGGAGGAAATCATGAAATTGAACAAAATCTGGCTACTAGTATTACAAAACTCTAAAGTCAGAACAGTAAATAAAGAACAACACTGAAAAAGCAGGAGAATTTCAGACAAGAATATCTGCTGGTTTGAAGATTTCTTTGATAGTTGGCAACTGAAATCACCACTACTCGGCTTTCAGGGAAAGCACAGCAGCAGCTTCTCCCCTCATCTCCTTGCTATATAAAAAAGGCTTGTCGTGCCGCTGGAGATATTTGTGGTTTTTCCACATTTGCAGTTGCCCTGCATCCAACCCTTGGACCAACTGCATTATCCACTCCTGACCTAGCATAGCAATATACATTCATTAAATTTGTCACATGTTATGTCTTAAACTAGTGCTTAGTTAAATAAACATTTTCCAGTTGCTGGATAAATGTGCTGAGCAGCCCTAAGACTTCTTACTAGGAGTACATCTAACATTCTCCCAGGCAAAAATCTGAAGTGGTTACAAACTTGTGGTCCTCGAGGTGTTTTGGACTGGCCAGGATTTCTGGAAGTTGGAAGCACAAAAATCTGGAGGGAGGGCCACAAATTTGATATCTCTGTACTATCGGTTTACTCAACAATACAAATATCCAAACAATAGGTCTTTAGACAGCAGTTTTGCACTATCCTACCTGCCCATCAGAATCATATGACCAACCATGAGACCCGGATGGCAACGCTGCTGTCCGTGAATCACTTTCCCGGCGTACACCACTTAGGACGTAGTGCCAGGCTCTGCTGTTGCGCATACGTCGAGCCATGGTGCCTCTGAAGAGGTAACCTGGAAGGCAAACCAAGACGGGCCATTTTAAAAGATAACCATCAGTTAACCTTTCCTTGTTTATTTTGTAAGACAAGATTTCATGTGCACAATTAGGAAACATCAGGAACAAGCAAACTATTGTACAATAGGACCCTCTCTTATGATCCTCACTCCATCTGTTTCCCAAATCATCATAACAAGAACTTGATTTTGTAAGTTTACTTTCAGACAACAATTCTCTTAGTTGTCAAGCAAATTTTATCATCAAATGTTCACAGTTCTTGCTCCCATTGCTTAGTAATTTTAACATATACAGTTGGGTTTTTCTTAAAACAGACAGACCTAAAAGGATGAAGCCACAATGCTATCCAAGTCAATGGGCATTTACTATCCAGCAATCCAAGTTGCAGTTCTGCTAGTATTACACTAGTATTACATAAGAAACAGCAGGATTAAGACAATGTGATTAAGGCTACTTGGCCCAATGATCAAATAACAAGGTAGCTCAGCAAGTTAACAGTTGAGCTGTTCTATGAGGAAAGAGATGCGACAAACACACTTTGCAAGTTTGGAAGAGCCTATAACCAGGCCAGTTTGGGATTGAAAGCACAAATTGAAAGCAGGTTTTACCCAAAAACTGACACATAGGTGCCAAACCTATGGCCCTCCAGCTGTTAACCTCTGGTACCACCACTGGTATAACCAACAGTAGTCACTTAGACTTATGGGAATTACAGTCCAAAATATCTGGGAAGTGAGAGAGCAAACACCCAATATTTTTCCTTGCACAGAGGGAATGGGTTTGCTTTCTGCTTCCCATCTTTGAGATGAGCCTTATAGAGACCAGAAGTGCACATGTCTTCAGAAAAAGAACATGCATTAAAACATTCTTCTTCAAGCAATGCAATATTATATACAACTGACTCATACAATCTCAGGAAAGAACACTAGTATAACACTGTTAGGAGATAAAGAAAGGAATGTGCACAATCCAGCCCACAGGATAGGACTAATTAATATCCCTGTGGTATGAGAGCATTAGATATACACAGCATATTCATTATCAAGGCATCTCAAGTTATCCCCTGCCCAATATGCTACCATATTCATGCCTGTTGGGCACAATTATTTATTTCCGGGACATTCATAGTCAGCTGATAGCTCTGGGGCTGTCACCAGCCCATGATCCGCCACATTGAGTAACACTAATTTTGATAACCTAATTTAGTTCTGATGTTTTCTTCATTTTCTGTTTGTTTTTTTTAAAGGGGGGGGGAGTCGTGCTTGTTAGTTTTAGTTGGCAGGCCTGGGGAAAGTATTGGGATAAGAATATTATGGGGTTATTGTTGTATCATATGTTTCTGGTTTCTTATTGTAGTGTCCTTGTTTGTTATTTTTAATTTTTAATTTGTTGTGAAAACTTAATAAACAACAGATAACCTGATTCAAGTTCTGACACCTGTCGTTTTGCAATAAATTCAGAACATTTTTTTCTGTTACAGTAAGTTTACACTATTCTACCAAACACATTTGCCTCCATTATGGTGGGTTCTGGTAGAGGAAAAGAGGAAAAACAAATAAAAGATGCCTACACCTCTCACCATATGTAAACTACAAAGTAACAAAATACAAACACAATTCTAAAAAGAAACTGTTACATGTACAGAGGATTTACACTTAACACATAACAAAACCAAAAATCTTTACCCCGGCTTTTTGAACACATCATCTGCCCATCACCTCCTAAACAAAGTAGCCAAGGGGACCATAAAAAACACCGAATTGGGAGAGATGTGTAATACTTCAGAAGCCAGGATCAGAATCCAAAGTGACTAACAGATTAGAGAACTGGGCCAAAAGTAACAAAATGAATTTCAACAGAGAGAAATGTACTACATTTTGCCAATAAAAACTAATGGCACAGATATAGGATGAATGGCAAATGGCTTGAGGACACGGGAAAGGAATCTAGACCAAAAACTTAACATGAATCAACAGTGTGATGCGACAGTTTAAAAAGCCAATGCAAGTGTAGGCTGTATAAGTAGGAGTCTAAGGTTGAAATCGAGGGCCCATTTAGACTGCCATATAATCCAGTTCAAAACAGATAATCTGGATTCAGAAATTGAATCCCATGGCAGTGTAGATTCAGGCCTCTGCTACATTGCCATATAAAATCCAGATTATCTGCTTTGAACTGGATTATATTGCAGTGTAGACTCATATAATCCAGTTCAAAGCAGATAATGTGGATTATCTGTTTTGATAATCTGGATTATATGACAGTGTAGAAGGGGCCTCAGTCATGGTCCTATTCTAGAGTGCTTTGCCAAGTCCTCATCTGGAACATGTGTCGATTTCTGGGCCCAGAAAGAGATTGTCAAGATGGAAGATGATCAGAGAAGGGCGACCTAAATAGTCATAGGTTCAGAAGCCAAGTCCTACAAGGAACAACTGAGGGAGCTGGATATGTTTAGCTGAAAAAAAGAAGGCTGAGACCCCTTCTACACTGCCATATAAACACTGATCTAGGTGGAATCTTCCCCTCACACATGATTTGTGCCCTAGCCTCCAAAGCACAGAAAACAAGCCTTGCCCCTTCCTGTTCAATGTGACATTCTTTAAACATGGCTCTCATGTCCATTTCTCTCAGGCCCTTTCTACATTGTCATATAAAATCCAGATTATCTGCTTTGAACTGGATTATATGGCATTATAGACTCATTTAATTCAGTTCAAAGTAGATAATGTGGATTATCTGCTTTGATAATCTGGATTCTCAACCTGTGGGTCCCCGAGTGTTTGGTCCTACAACTCCCAGAATTCCCAGCCAGTTTACCAGCTGTTAGGATTTCTGTGAGTTGAAAGCCAAAACATCTGGAGACCCACAGGTTGAGAACAACTGACGTAGACATTAGGAAAAACTTGGGTATGTTTAGCCTGGGAAAGAGGGAGGTAAGAAAATGACATGCTAGCCATGTCATATTTGATAAGGTGTCATATGGAGGAGGAAGTAAGGTAGGTAAACAGATTCCACCTAAACATGAGGAAGAACTTCCTGAGGGGGGAGAACTGTTCAACGAGCAATCTGCTGCTCAGAGGAGCGTAGTGGGATTTCCTTTGCTGAGGGATTTGAAGCAGAGGCTGGACAGCCATCTGTCAGTACGGATTGAATGGTGTCTTCAAACTTGAAAGAAGATGGTTGGACTAGATAGGACATTCCATTTTTTTTCAAACCTTTTATTAGAGGTATGAGGGAGTGTAGGCCCTGGCCACTGCTAGGCCTTTATGGGAAGAATAATATTCTACCAGAAAATAATCTAGTGTGGTGAATTTATAATTTCTTGTTGACTTCCCCAATATTCCATTTTTTAAAAAATTATACTAGGATCAGCTACTAGGTCACCTGTTCCCACTTTATTTTTATGTTTGAAGAAATCCAGATCCAAGTCCCCTTCAATTATTATGTACCCTTCTGCCTCCTTGTCAATTTTCTTAAGGGTTTTATTCATTAATCTTTTTTGCTTCTGATTTGGGCCATAAACACTATTTATTGAGATTTTAACTATTAACTTTCCCCCTTAACATTACGAACCTGCATCCCTTATTATTTTCCCTATTTCCAAATTTAGGTTGTTTTTAATAAGGATAGACACGCCGTGAGATTTGTTCGAGCCTCTGGATTCTATGTGAATTTCCCACTTTTTTAAAATTAAGAAATTTTGTACTAGCCTTCCTTCTGTGTGTTTCCTGAAGAAGAACGTGTAGATCTGATATTGATTTAGCAGTTTTTATAGGTTTTCTAAAAAAATCATAATGAACCAATACCATCTGAGTTGACTGACAATATGTTTAATTCTCCCATCTATGGGCATTCTAACTTTATTATCTATGAGAGGCTGGGTGGCCATCTGTTGAGAGGGATTGTATAGTGCCTTTCTGCCTGGAAGAAGAAGGTTGGACTGGAGGGCCCTTCCAATGCTATAATTCTATGAAGCTGGGCGGCCATCTGTCAGAAGGACTTGGGCTGTGTATTCCTGATGGTTGGATTGGAGGGAGTCCTGGGAGTCTTTCAATGCTATACGTAATTCTATGAGGCTGGGTGGCAATCTGTTGGGAAGGATCAGATGGTGTCTTCCTTAATGGCAAAAGAGGGTTAGACTGGATGGACTTTGGTGGTCTTTTCCAATGCTATATGTAATTCTATGAGGCTGGCCATCTGTCAAGATGGATTTGATTGTGCCTGCCTACCTAGAAGAATGCGTTGGAGTGGAGAGCCCTTGGGAGGAATCTTCCTTAAGGGCAGAAGGGGCTGGATGATCTATGAGGCTAGATGGCCATCTGTCGGGAGGGCTTGGGTTGTACCTACCTGTCTGAAAGGAGGGGATTGGACTGGATAGGGCATTCCAACTTTATGATCTATGACAGCCTGGACGGCAATCTGTCGGGAATGCTTGGTTGGTATTTCCCTTTATGGCATCTGTCAGGAGGGATAAGATGGTACCTTCCTTATTGGCAGAAGGGGGTTGGACTGGATGGCCTTTGGGAGTCCTTTACAATGCTATAGGTAATTTTATATGAGGCTGGGTGACCATCTGTTGTGAGGGATCGGATGGTGCCTTCCTGCCTGGAAGAAGGTTGGTCTTTTCCGATGCTATACGTAATTCCATGAAGCTAAACGGCCATCTGTCGTATGGGATCGGGTGGTGCTATGCTTAATGGCGAAGGGGGTTGGGCTGGATGGCCTTTGGGGGTCTCTTCCCACTCTAGACTAGACCATTATTCTGATTCCTCCATTCGCTTCAGGCCTAAGAATCAAAGCAGCGCTATTATTATTATTATTATTAGACTGTGCTTACGCATACCCCGCTTGATCTCTCCACAGGGAGGCCCAAATCTACAAACATCAAAAGAGGATTAATGCACAAGCCGCAAACCGCCCATATTTACCCGGCCTCCTTGGCGAGAGTTCCAGGCAGGCTTCAAGGCGGGGAGTAGGCCGCAGAGGCGCTCTCCTCCTTCCTCACGCAGAAGCCCGACGTCTTCTTCCGCGCCTATTGGTCGTCACCGCCGCCTCCTTCCTGCGTCACTCCTTCTCGTCGTCCCGGCCTTCTCGCTCCGCCCCTTGACGTCACGGCCTCCTCCTCGCCTCATTGGCTCGCGGAGGAACCGAGTCCCGCCTTCCTTCCGTCCCGACAGCGAAAAACACGCCCTCGCGACGCCCTCATCGCCTTCTCATTGGATCATTCAGCGGTAGGCGGCGCCTCCCTTTTGCCCACTGATTAGAAAGGGTTCACGTCACTCCGGTAAACGAAACAAAAAAAAAAAGCGGAAGCGGCAGGAAGTTCAGCGATGCAACATGGAGAAGGGGAAAGAAGGTGAGTGACTGACTAACTGACGCTCGTAGGGAGGCGGGCCTTTCAGAGGATGCTTTCCCAGGGACATCCCAGAGACAGTGGGTTCTTGTAGGTTTTTCCGGGCTATATGGCCATGTTCTGGAGGCAATTTTTCTCCTGACGTTTCGCCTGCATCTATGGCAAGCATCCTCAGAGGAGTGAGGTCTGTTGGAACTAGGAAAAATGGGTTTATATATCTGTGGAATGACCAGGGTGAGCACACAATCACATACCCGATATCCAGCCCGTAGCCAGGATTTCGTTTCGGGGGAGGGGCTGAATTTTTTTCAGGGGGGGTTTTGGGGGGGCTGAGTTTCGGGGGGGCTGAGTCTGAGTGAAAGAGGGTCTAGCCTAGCAAACCTTTTTTATCATTACCCCAATACCCCCATGCATATGGGATATATTGAGTATGGTGATCAGATCATGATATGAATAAACATAACAGTTTAAATAATGCACCAGTAAGGCCTTTTCGCGAACCACCATGAGAATTTCGGGGGGGGGGCTGAAGCCCCTCAAGCCCCCCCTACATGCCTGAGTCAAGACATTGACATCACAGAGTCACTTCACCTAGTAACAGTCAAGCCAGTGACATCACAGAGAGACACTTCACCTACCAACAGTCATGACAATGACATCACACTTCACCTAGAAACAGCTAACACAGTGACAACACAAAGAGCCACTTCACCTAGCAACAGTCTAGACAGTGACATCATTGAGACGCATCGCCTAGCAACAGCCCACACAGTGACATCACAGAGAGCTACTTCACCTAGTAACAGCCTTTGTAGTACAGATAGACATACTTTGTCATACACATATATACATACATGCATACATACATGCATACAAACACAGATATGCTAGCTTAGGTACCCGGCGATGCCCAGGTTAGGTATTTTGTAATGATAAATATTAGAAGTAATTGCTAGGACTTGGCTGTTATGAATGGTCCCATTATACACACAGCTCTCTGAGTGGATGGTACTCGAGGAACTTTGGATATGGGAGAACTTCAGCTCCCATCCTCCTTCCTCCATCCACTCTGAAACCTTCCCAGTATTTTAAATTGACCATGATGAATGCCAACTTTGCTCTAGAGAGCCATCATCAGTGAGGATAGTAGTGCTCTCTGAATGACTACAAACCCCCTCCAGTAATTCTGTTGGTCAGGAGGGATCTCTGTGCCAAGTACAGTATAGTCCAGATCCATTATCGGTAGGAGTGAGTAGATAGATAGACCTGCAGCATTCATTTCTTTTATCCTTGCCCAGACAGGTACAATACATGTGTGTTTTTGTCCCTTACAGACAGAGGCAATCTGGCTGGTGTTCAGCACATTGTTCTGGTGCTCTCGGGAAAAGGAGGAGTGGGAAAGAGTACCATTTCAACTGAGTTGGCTTTGGCTCTGCATCATGCTGGGAAAAAGGTATGCTCTATTATTCCATAACAATGTGGTGTAGCATTGCATTAGAGCAGCCATCTTCACCAGGAGATTCTTGAATGTTTTGGACCTACCAAGGATTTGTAGACTTTTTCCCTTCATGCCTGGATTGGATGGGAGTTTATTTGCCGTTGATTTGTTTTTTGCACTAACAAATGAATGTGCAAAGAAAGCATTCCTACTGAAAAAGAAAAGACAGGAAGACGAAACTACCATATCTTCTCTAAAATTAAATTTGACTAATTAGCTATACACTAAGGTATTGAGGATTCTGTCCTCTGAATATGGATTGTTATGTATTGGAAGCCTCAAAGTATGCAAAAATACATAAGACTGTTTTCTCCTAGGTTTTAATTCACACACTGTTGTGGTTTTTAATGTTAACCACTTTTAAGTTTCCTTTGCCAGAGGAAAAATAGTGTATAAATTCCGCTACTACTGTGAACATGATTGTGTATTTTAGCTATGTTGTAACCCACCTCAAGCCAAGAAGAGAGCCAGGAAAGAAAATAATAATAATAATAATAATAACAACCTTTATTTGTATACTGCCCTATCTCCCTGAAGGGACTCAGGGTGGTTTATTTATTTATTTATTTATTTCAGTTACTTCTACCCCGCCCTTCTCACCCCCAAAGGGGGACTCAGGGCGGCTTACAGACGAAGGCACAGTACAATGCCTATATCAGTTATACAAACATACATAAAAGCAATTTAAACAATTAACAGATTAAAAACATCAATACATAGTAAACAATCTCATGCTCAGTGTTCAGAGTTCCGTACATCCATTCCGTTCCATCAGTTCCTGTTTATCGTCGGGTCTTTCCTTTAGCTGCCAGAATGTCCAAAAGCTTGGTCCCATATCCAAGTCTTCAATTTTTTTCTGAATGACAAAAGGGAGGTCGCTGATCTAATCTCCCCGGGGAGTGAGTTCCACAGGTGAGGGGCCACCACCGAGAAGGCCCTGCTCCTCGTCCCCGCCAGCCTCACTTGTGATAGAGGCGGGGTCGAGAGCAGGGCCTCCCCAGAAGATCTTAAACTCCGAGGTGGGACGTAGAGGGAGATCCGTTCGGACAGATACACTGGGCCGGAACCGTATAGGGTTTTGTAGGTCAAAACCAGCACTTTGAATTGTGCTCGGAATTGGATCGGCAGCCAGTGGAGCTGACACAACAGGGGGTGGTATGCTCCCTGTATGCTCCGGTGAGCAATCTGGCTGCTTCTCGCTGGACTAGTTGAAGTTTCCGAGCAGTCTTCAAAGGCAACCCCACGTAGAGTGCGTTGCAGTAATCCAACCGGGATGTAACAAGAGCGTGGACCACCGTGGCCAGATCTGACTTCCCAAGGTACGGGCGCAGCTGGCGCACAAGTTTTAATTGTGCAAAAGCTCTCCCGGCCACCGCCGAGACCTGGGGTTCCAGGCTCAGCGATGAGTCCAGGATCACTCCCAAGCTGCGAACCTGCGTCTTCAGGGGGAGTGTAACCCCATCTAACACAGGCTGTAACCCTATACCCTGTTCGGCCTTACGACTGACCAGTAGGACCTCTGTCTTGTCTGGATTCAGTTTCAATTTGTTAGCTCTCATCCAGTCCGACACAGCAGCCAAGCACCGGTTCAAGGTCTGGACAGCCTCCTTGGTGACAGGTGGGAAGGAGTGACAGATTTGGACATCATCTGCGTAGAGATAACATCTCATTCCGAAACTCCGAATGATCTCCCCCAGCGGCTTCATGTAGATGTTAAATAACATCGGGGACAGAATTGAACCCTGTGGGACTCCACACAACAACGGTTGTGGGGCCGAACAGGTGTCACCCAGTAACACCTTCTGGGATCGTCCCTCAAGGAAGGATCGGAGCCACCGCAAAGCAGTGCCTCTGAGCCCCATGTCCATGAGGCGTCCCAGAAGGATACCGTGATCGACGGTATCGAAGGCCGCTGAAAGGTCCAGCAGAACTAACAGGGACACACTCCCCCTGTCAAGCTCCCGGCGAAGATCACCAAGGCGACCAAGGCTGTCTCAGTTCCATGTCCCGGCCTAAAGCCAGACTGTGCCGGATCTAGATAATCAGTGTCTACCAGAAACCCCTGGAGTTGTGTTGCCACCACACGTTCCATGACTTTGCCCACATAGGGGAGATTGGAGACTGGCCGATAGTTGTCGAATTGAGTGGGGTCCAGTGATGGTTTCTTCAACAGCGGTTTTATGATAGCTTGTTTTATTTATTTATTTATTTATTTACTACGCTTATATACCGCAATTCTCAGCCTACTGGCGACTCATTGCGGTGTACAACATAGAAAAAAGGTGCAGAATACAACATACAATAAAACAATCCACAGTACATAATTATCAACCTCATCAAAACATCAACCTTACTACAATACCATTCCGAGTCGTCTCATCGTCCAATTCACAATCCAATGTCATTTCCGTTGTTACATTCCTATGGTCAAGTTACCAGTCATTGCACTTCTATTCAAAAGCCTTCTTTTTTTTTTTTCTTTTTTTTTTTAATAAGTTTTTATTAGTTTATCACAATTATTACATACTATTGCATTTTCTACATCAACCTCTTTAACATGTTATTTTGTTGTTTTGCTTTGACATTCCTCCCCTTTTTTTCTCTTTTTTTTTTTTTTTTCCCCACCTCCGTGCTCCCCTCCACCCGTTTCAAGCCACATTTCTTACATTTCATCAGTCCAAAATTTCATTTCTTCTTGTGACGGTAATTTTCCTTCCTTATTTTTTAATCCATTTATCACAAATTTCCCCCATATAGCATCAAAATCACTTTGTTTCCATATACCTTTTTTAACCTTTAATATACATGTCAGTTTATCGTTTAAAGCTAATTTCCATGCTTCCTTATACCACTCCTCTATTTGTATATTCATTTCTTTTTTTCCAATTCCTTGCTATGAGCAGTCTTGCTATTGTTAATAAGTTTGTTATCGCTTCTTTATCCTCCTTTTTCAATTGTTTATTGTTATATAGTGATAGTAATGCTATACTAGGACTTTTATCTAATTTTATATTCATTAAAGTTTCTATTTCTCTAAATACTTTCTCCCAAAAATTATTTACATATTTACATTGCCACCACATGTGTATATATGTTCCTGGTTCTTGACACCCTCTCCAACAATTTATTGAATTATTCTTATTCATGTATGCTATTCTTACCGGTGTTAAGTACCACTTCCATACTAGCTTATAATAATTTTCTTTAACTCGTATCGATAAATTTTTTAAATGTCTTTGTCCCCATAACTGTTGCCACTCTATTTCGCTTATTTTTATCCCTAAATCCTCTTCCCAAATCTCCTTAAGGGTACACTTTTTTATTTTTCCATCCCTCATTTCAATTAGTATCTTATAGATTTTGCTAATTATACCTCTCAAGTTTTCATGTTCTTCTACTGCCCTTCCCTTCTGTATTATTTGTTCGAATTGATTAAGTTGGCCTCCATTTCTATTATTTTTTTTCCAGTTTATTAACCATTGTTCTAATTGTATACAATGAAACCATGATAATTTTATTTCTTTAAACTCTGCAGCGAACAAAATAACACGTGAAATTCACCATGGGCTTCAATAGTGGGTACGTCGGGGCTTTCATGGCAGGTCCCCTACAGGATTAGCTATGGGGAGAGCATACAAATCGTGTTATTTCCTAATAGGAGGTGCGTGGTTGGTATTATGCGAGTATGCGG